TTATTTAAGAATAGCGTTTATTTCTCGTTGGCCAACGCTATACCTACTTACACTGACTTAACAGTTTACTTTTTTCTCTTCTATAAAAACACACACTTACATCAGTTCATTCTTCATTTCTTTAACTCTTTAACTTACGTACATCGATTATAGCCAACAAGAATAAGATGGAGAACACACAATAACCACAAACTTGGAATGAATTGTCTAATTATGATGATTTGTTAATATTATAAAAAATGAATTAGATGTTGCTATTATAAATTACTTACAAATATTTGGTTATGATACTATTAAAATTTATCTTTCTCAAGAGAAACAACAAATTCTAGAAGATTTGAATCAATCACTTGATATTTACGATAAATATCGATCTGATCTATGTAAAGTTGCATTCTGTCCTGGTGATACAAAGAAATTAATTGTGTTTATTGATAAATTTCAATGTATAAAGAAAGAAGCAGAAGATGCTAATGAAGAAATATCGAAGAAGGTAAGTGTTTGACATGGAGCTCTCTGATAGCTGAAGTCTAACGAACTGCAAGACTTCCGTTTCCCGTTTTAGAATACAACAGCAGCACCCAGGATTAAAACCTGTGACAGTAGTGGTTCTCAAGCAGTAGCAACACTTTCTACCCTTCGACATGCTTGTCCTCGTCCTCTTTTGATTGCTTGGAGTCTTATTTGTATAATAATGGTATTAGATAGATTCTTTTGGATTAACGAAGGAACACTGTCGATTTTCAGTAGTAATATTATGAATGCTAAACTGGCAAGTGAACTAACTGCTGAAAGCCTTTTAGTTTTCATACGCAAGTTTGTCTATCTCACACTTCGTTCAGATTTCTCTGTCAAGCCAACTGAATTCCGTGTAATTAATTAATTAATTACACGGAATTCCTATCTAAAAATTTTCAAAAACTCCGTGTCCCAAGCAAACTTCCCGGTATTTTGCTGAAAGCTCTCATGAACATTTCCAATTATCCCACTTGGGGTAATTGGAAACAACAATAGAAATTGATGGGGTAATTGGATACGCCATGTATTTTACATGGGAAATAATTGATTAGTAAAAACCAGTTTTCTCGTTAAGCCAATGATATTAATTAATAATTTTTGCACAGGTAAATAAATCAATTATTGCTGTATAAATGGTGAGAATCTCCAAGCTCTGCTCATTAATTAGCCTGAGCTCTAATTAAAAAAGTAAACGCTGAGAAATTTTCAAATGTTTCCGATTTTACCCCATTTGGAGCAGGGCTGGACAACTCCGCTGACTTTCAACTCCAACTCCACTCCATTCAAGCCCGTTCACAAATTTCCAACTCTCTCAACAAAAATCTCAACTCTAGTTCAACTCCGGTTGCTTCGCTTTTGTGCAGAAGATTTTTCGGTTTTTAGCAGGATTCTGGATGTTTTTGAGCTTTTTCCGGTCGGAAAAAGCAAAGAACTTCCGAATTCACTCGTGAATACAGCCACTCAATCGTTTAGAAGATCAGTTTACACCTATATTGAATATTTCCAAAAATGCAAAACGGAGTTGAGAATAAATATTCAAAAATCTAACTCCAACCTACTAAAATCTTAACTCCAGCTCCAACTGCGTCAAAGTCAACTCCGACTCCAACTCCACCAAAAAATCCTCAACTCCGGAGCTGGAGTTTCCCAGCCCTGATTTGGAGCAACTGGAAAAGTTAGTGAAAGTTAGTGGGGTAAATGGAAACGACCATGTAAAATAGCTAGAAAGCTAGGAGTTTCTCGGAAATCAGTTTCTACTCGAAGAACACCTCTCACAAAAAGTTTGCGCTTATAAAAAGATGCACATATTCTTTTCTGCAATCGTAGAGAAATTCTCAGTTGTATTCATTCAGAAATAACAAAATAAGCCTGTAACACGTAAAAGTCGAAACAAAACCTCTCTTCTATACGTCAAGAGATTCTCTTGATTGGCTTATCCATGACTTTTTTCTTAGCCGCCATATATTTTGCACACAAGCAAACAGAAAACTGTTTTGTATGAATATGGACAAAGGAATAACATATGTCGTATGTTTGTTTGACTAAATCCAAATGCGTGTCATTTTCTCGTATATTTGTATATGTCCTAAATCATTCCAAAAAAAAAAGATAAAAGAAACCTCTCTTCATTCTAGACAACCACAAGTGCTAACTTCTGAGAACTTCGTCAATAACTAGACGGATTCCCATTAAAAGTTCGAAAAGAAATATTTTATTTGAACGAAGGCTACAGCATTTAACAGAATGAAGGTTTGTTGCAACATCCAGATTTGTCACGATTATACATGTAAAAAACCAAGCTTTCGCTGTTAGGTCATCTAGTATCAATAATAGCTCTCATTCAGTTCTCTGTTCCGATGGCGAACCTGTGTTCAGGAGTGTTTCCGCTGATGCATCCACTTAACAAATCTAATGTCGACCGATATGCTCTATGCATATCTTTGGATCTTTGATTAAAGTTTCTAAAATTCCTTTAGGAAAACGGCTTAAAATTGCAAGAGATTCTTTTATTAACAAACGATATGAATTATTATCTTTAAGAAAAATTCTAAATCCCTTCCTCTTTATTTCATGTCATTGGTCTAGAATATGTTGTCCTAGAGCTGATTTAATCTTTTGAATCTTTGTCAGAGAAAACAATCATCGTATCAAAAACATTTGTGTACATTGTTCTTTGTGAAAGTAATTTTTATACATATTTCATAGCAGTCCTCCTTAAACACATAGCATTCCTAACTTAAACAAT